TTTTTTTTTTTTTTTTTTTTTTTTTTTTTTTTTTTTTTTTTTTTGTAACACGAAACAAGATTGTTGTGTTTACCCCCATTTTGTAACTCTATAAAAGAGGGCCAAATATATAGAGAAACTACAAAACTTTAGCTAAAGTCAAAAAGAAAGGAGGAACCAAACAACATTCTAAAGACCCCCATCTTCAAGAGAAAAAGGCGTTTTGTCATTTCTGCAAATTCCAGGATCTTTGGTCATTTCTGGAAATAGTTTAGCTTCACCTTCTCTATCACCTTCCATAGTGCTTCTTTAGCTTCTTCCAGCGTTTCAACACCATGACCTTCCTCAAAGGGCAGCCTTTGTATGTTGAACTGCAACAAAACAAAACAAAACAAAAAAAACAGAGAAGAGTAAGCTCATAAGCATACTGTGCATGATCATGAATCATTTGGACTTAAATTTGCTACACATACAAGGTTGTTTTACCTGAGCACCCTGACGAACCCGTACATCTATCCCTTTGCTATCTATAGAGATGAGAGCAGCGTCGTCTACCTCTGTCTCAGAAGACAGTAGCTCTCTAAGCGGCTTTGAGAAGATGGCATTTAGTTCCTAACACAAAGTTGAAAAAAGGGAAAAGTAAGAGCCTACTTCAATTTACCAAAGGACAATAATGGAGGGGTAAGTTTATTTAATCTGAAAAAAGCACCTTGAGATTGTGCTCTCCACCATCAACAGCGATCTTATCTGGCTGTAAAGCCTCATACTCTTTGACATCAACCCATGCGACCGTGCCAAACCCTCCAATGAAATATATATCACTGCCAATATTCACATTTTAGTATGTAGTTGAATAAGTAGATTAGGAATAAGTTTCAAAACAAAACCTTATGTTCTGCATTCTAAAATAGTGAAAGTTTCCCCATTGTTCTGAAAGCCCGTGCGGGTGCTTTGCAATATATTGCTTGTGAGCCCACTCCTACCAAGCCACAACCAGAGATATTACGACACATTAATCTCACATACATATGTTTTAGCAAGTAAGATTCATGTACACTCAAACCCATAAATTGAAAAGAAAAAAAAAACATTAATAAGTACTTAGATGCTCACCTGTTCATCTTCTGACAATGGATAGACATCACCAAATAGTGTTACTCTTGCATTTGATAAGCCACTCCATCCAGGTATCTGCTAGCCAAATCCCCGTTATATAAGTATTACAAAAGCAAAAGGTGATAAAACCTTTTGCTCTTTTAGTTTAAACACAATAGCCAATATTACCTGAACAACGAGACTGCATCTAGGTTCAGCCAAGAGATTTCTTGTGTGGATGGCCAACGGTGAAAATAAAAAGATTGGATCTGCAACCAAAAAGCATTAGCCATTCAAGGAAAAATGCATCCATTATCTCAGCCAGCTAACACAAGAAATTTAATGTACTAGTCCTTCAATACTATCCAGACCCCAAAGAAAATACTACACTTAAATCTATAATGAGATTTGAAGAAAAAAAGACAGAAACAACCATAAATTGATTTCACTTACCTCCTATTCGTTCACACAAGAGCCAAATCATAATAGATTTTTTAAGAGTGAGAGAACGCTTAATACTTATGAATCAATTGTCCACTAATAAGTAACTAAAACCATATCCTAAAGAACATATCAGCATATAAATAAAGAGAGAGATGTAGCGACTTACGCCCCATACGATCAGGTGCAAAATCTACCAAAGAGCCAAATGGGTAGCCTTCCCTACGGTGATGCATTTTAGACATCACTGTGCATAGATGAGCAAACCTAGCCTTGAATCGTTTAAGAACGAAAACAAGAACCAATCAGATAAACAACTTATCATCTAATCTCATCAAAGCAAAAAAAAAAGGAACTCTAGAACAATCTTAAAAGGTTAAATCTTTTACCTGCTCAAGCAAGTTCCTTACAGCCAAAGCAGGCCTGGGTAACGCATGAGCTGATGTCGCATTCTGAACTCCACCAGATATGGGAGTTCTAAAAAGCCCACCTCGATTTCCCCCACTGTTCCCAGCACCCTGAGGAAGTGCAACAGATGACTCCACATCTATTACACTATGAGAACTCTCACTCTCAAGCTTTTCCTTCACACAACAACATACAAACACTATTAGCCTATATGCCAAAATCAACAATCTAAGATTCGATTCAGTACAAACTCTGCATAAGATCCAGAACTAGCTGAAGCATACCCAATACAAAGAAACCCACGACAAGAACTGTAATAAAGTATTGAACTTTACAACTAATAATCACAAGACAAGAGAAAAGGAGTACCCAATAGTACAAAGAATCACACAGACAGAGGCATACCCAAGACAAGAATTGTAATAAAGTATTGAACTTTTCAAGAATTAGAGTACCTGTGATAAAGAGAAGATATCACCAGGAAAGAAGCCAAACCCATTGCTTTCGGACAGATTGTCTTCACCTTCACTTGGTGTCTCGTTGTGTAAGAGAGCTTGTATACGAAGGCTGTGACTTGATCCATCTTTAATTCTCAGCTTTGGGATTCTAAGCTTTGGTGGCGAGTTACAGAGCCAGCAGGAAGACTGGGAAGAAGTTACGAGTGGCAGGGAAGGTTTGAAGAGATGCTTTGTCGCCGGGAGATTAGAGATGTGTGCTGAAGTAGAGAGAGCTTCCATGGTTGGGTTTGAGCTTGAAGAGAGTTAGCGATCTTTCACTGTGGCAGCAGAGCAGAGAGATTCGCCAGGCGTCTTTATTGAAAGTAAAGCTTCTAGGAATTAGGACTTTTCCGGAATAGGGTTCTGTTGATTATACACAAAAATAAAGTGGTTTTGTCTTTTTATTTTATTTTTATATTTTTGTTGTTGTAAAAGATAGGGACTGAATGAATTACCCAGATTTTGATTTCTTTTTTAATACCCTCGGAAAAAGGTATTCAGGTTATTGCGAAATTATTTATATTGAGGTTATAATACATACATAACTATTTTTGATAAAAAAGCGTAACTATTTATTTTAAAATCGATTATTAATTTTCTTCTGTTAAGATAAATAGGAGAGATGATCAATTTGTTTAACGCAAATCTCGTATCACACAAAGGATAGTGTTTATTAGTTTCTGCCTAAATTAAATTAGTTTATAAAATCAATTATTGATAACAACAACAGTTATTGAATTTTTTTTTTTTTTTTTTGGATGCAAGTATTGAAAAGTTTTGTTATAATTATTCTCGATAGGAGTTTTGTTTTAATTATTCTCGATAGGGACAGAGTTTAGAAACCAAGAAACGAATTTGGATTTTCTTGATGTAAATTCATGTTTTAGTTTTCTCTTCGTATCATCTGCAACTCATGTGGAAGTTATTTCACTACCTCGTTATGAGTTAAACACTTACACGCATGCTAGTTACTTTTTTTTTAAACTATCACTTATCAAGTCGTCTTTCCCCTCACAGTTATGGTTTCAAGTACGTATTAGTTTTGAAACCGGTTTAGCTCATGAACACAGACATAGGTCCGCTTCAAATTCAGGTTAAGACTCACCAGTATAGTAAGTAGTATTAGCTCTACCAAACTATAGATAACATATCTGATAAGCTAAACGGTTTAGCCTAAATCATGCTTGGTTGTGGCGTTGTTACAAACATTTACATTTTACAGGTATATATTGTTTTTTCTTTTTGCTTAAAAACTATGAATCTGAATGTTTCTTTTTGCTTAAAAACTATTGTTACAAAGAATTGCCAAATTTCGATCAAATGTCTTATGTTTTTATTTTTTCTTAACTTGCTTGAATATAGGGACTAAAAATACAGTAAGGGAACTTGAAGAACAATTTGGAATTTTAGTCTCCAGATCCTCCACACTACTAAAGAATTTTCTATCATCTTACGCGGTTCAAAACCATTTTAAACGTTTGGAACGAAAAATCAACACGTCACATATCATTCAAACGTTGTCGTTTTCAGCCCATCCTTCCTCCGAGTCCACGCGCCACCGTCTAAGCTGCAACGTCGCTGCACCCGCCAGCTTTCTTTCCACGGCTCGAATCATTCCAGCTGCGACACCAGTCACATCCTCCACCTTCTTTAGACTCGGCCACGTCCTCGTCTTCGTCGAGTTCCTAACGCCGAACCAAAACGCCGCCGCTAAACTCACCTTCGTCGGCCTCTCCACAGCCAAAACGAGAGACGCCAACGAAACGACAGCGTTTCTCGAATCTCCGTTTAGTCCTAACTCATCGCACCATTTTACAAAAACGCCATCAGCTACGGCCTTCACTCTCTTTTCCCTCCCACGCGATTTGTTCACGACGACACGCGGTGTCTTCTTCGTCTTCCTCGTGGTCGACGATTGCTCGGAGCTTGAGACACGATCTAGAGACGAGCAACAAGAAGATTCGGAAGAGGAAACCGATCCACAGCAGCAGGTTGTTGTCAGAGGCCAAGGGGAAGGAGAACCAGAGACGATATCTCCGGTTAGGGATTTGCAGTGAGGGCAGATGATGCGGCGGACATGGCGGGAAAACAAGATATTAGAGGCGTGGAACTTAGCGTCGCAGGAGCGGCAGAGAAAAGCGGAGTCCGCGGCGCAGTGGAGATCGGCTTCTGCACCACACAGTTCACATGGTTCCACCATCCTCTCTCGTCTGTAATGTTTTCAGGATGATGATGGGAGGAGATGGATGTTTATTATGTGATTTGAGGGAGAGAAAAACGATGGAGTTGTATGGTTCATGGTTTTGATGATATATTTATAGTGGCTATTATTTTCCCTCTTTCACTTGTTCTCACCAAAAAGATATGATATTCTTTTTATTTTGTGAGGTAGAGAAATGAATGTGGTTTGGAGAATTGACGTGTGGAGAGGTTTTGAGGCTGGTGATATCTGTGGTTATTGCTTTTAAACCGTTGCAATAGCTGTCGTGTCATTCTTCCTCTTCTTCTGGCGTGACGTGGAGATTTAGTCAACACACCCAAGTCTTTTGACATGTCTTTGGTCATTGCCATTTGTTTTTATTTCCATTTCTTTTCTTCTGCGTTATTCCCTCTTTTCAACACTACTAGTTTTTGTTTCTTGTGGTCATGCAACACATGTGAAGTTTCCTAATACATGTTTGACTAAAAGACAGGAAAATAATAAAAGAGATTTAAACTCAAAAATATTTTAATAAAAAATCATGAAAAGCAAATCTATTATATTAAAAGAGAACATGTTTTGATAATACAATATGTGTGATGTTTTTTATTTAGACTATTAATAGAATTTTATCAAATATATTTAATTTTTATAACTACATTAGTCATAACATCTTTTGATATCTTTTTTATTTTAAATACAAATATATATTAATTCTTTGTAATAAATCTGTTGAAAAGATTTTTAACAAGATCTTAACTTATGTAAATATTTCATTAATTTTGAATTTTTAATGAAATATAATTATATATTGATATACATATATATATATATATATATTCAGTTATCTCTTATAAAATTAAAAATAAAATTTATTCTTTTATCTATTTTAGAATCATCATCTATCATATTAAATGAAAATTATTATATTGAAATAAATGTTATAAAATTATATTAAATTGTAAATTAATGAATTTTATTTTCATAATAGAAAATATTAATGTTAAAAAGTATAATATGTTGGCAGAACGGATTAACATTAGTAATTATATAATACATGTATAAAATTAACATTTCTTAAACTTTTATAATAATATATTATCTATATCATACAAAAGTTCTTAGATAATCTAATTTTGAAACTCAAATCAGAGTTTAGTATAAATTAAATATAAAATAATTTTCAATATGATTTTTCATGCATAATTAAATATAAAATAATTTTTAAATGTGATTTTTATGCATATATTAATATTAATAATTAAATACAAATCCAATAAACATGAAAGCTATTAAATTATTGTGTTTGTAATAGTTATATAAACATTTAAAAATATATTACTAACGTCACTAATGATATAAAACAAACATATGTTTATAAAAATGAAAATAAAACCCACGCGGTTGATCGTATCAAAATCTAGTATTTTTTTTTTTTTTTTCTTTAGAACACCAATCTAGTACTCTTTAATTTTCATATTTTGGGTACAAAACACAAGGCGAACCTGTTTGGTATTTTTGCCCCAACTAATATAACAAAATGTCTATCATGAAATCTTTTCTAAAATTGTGCCTTGAATAAAGCAAAACAAGACAACATACATTATAGGGTCTTGAATAGCCAAAGCCAAATCCCATTAGTCAGTAAATTTTCCAATGAATCACAATGCAAGGATTCACACTGTTGTGATCTCTCAAACGAGCGAGCTTACTTATTTGTAATCCGACCAATCCGCCTCTGGCGTAATTTAATTGTTGGTTTGCGTTGCTGCACGGCCGTGGATTGTCCGACATTCACCTGATCATTCCATGGCACAATCTTAAGTGGATGAGCTTCTGTGTTGAATACCCACTCGTCCAAGGGAATAACCGTTGTGGGCGAGAAGAGGAGATAGAGATACTTGAGCGTCTCAGCAAGGAAGAAACTTTGCATCTTGTTGTCCTTAACTCCTGTATTAACCTGAAAAAAAGAATCTACTATCAGATTATACTTTATAACGTGAGGTCTAGTGAAGAGCCTAAGGAGAACTTACATCCTTCAAACCGACGTATCCAGACTCTATGCGAGAGTTCTTCTCAAACGCTTCAAAAATATTCCATCCCCAATCTTGATATGTCTTGTTACCAGTCAACCGCCAGAGGTAAAACAGTGATTCCACAGTTTCTGGTCTTAAAATGTTCCACGATGTTCCAACACTCATGTCCTGAATCATCATCATCATCATGTTTGTGGGTTGTATACTAAACAACAATGTATTTGGAAATGAGAAACAAAGGACATACACTCTCAGAGTTGAAGAAATAATTCTCCCCGGCTAGTTTTGTTGGTGTTGATTCGTAAAAGTTATAACATGTCCATGCAAGCTGCAGATTAGTGGGAAAAAATAGAAATAAAGGCTTAAGTTCAAACATCATAAAACTTGTTTGAAAATTCTATTAATGAAGCTATGAGCAACGCCATAGCTTTACCTCTTCAGCAAGTGTGAGAAACTTCTTTGCTTCAGCAGGATCATTATACCCAGATGCTCCTAAAGCCAACATTCCAGGAGCAAAGCATGCCAATTCATCCATCTGAATATAGATAAGAATGAAACATGAAAACTGAAAAACGCCAGGCAACACAGATTTTCACTTATCACAGACGGGTATACCTTGTCGGACAAAGAGTTTCCACTCTTCTCACAGATATATGTAAACGATGAAGGTGTTGATTTCTTAACCAAGCTTACCAGACCATTCATTGATTTCTCCCACATATCTCTGATACCAAGAATTCAACACATAACATTTCTAAATATCAAAACTACAATACCAGCAAAGATAGGAAGAACATAGATATCATATGAGGACATCAGCCTTCTAACTAATATCAATGTTCTTGTTTTTGACTTATAACACGCACATACGTATATAGACTAATTAGAAAAGAGAATAAAAAACTTACCTATAGTGTTTCACTGATAAAGTTTTGCTCCCAAAAACCCAAACTTTGAGCAAATATTCGTAAAAGCTGTGTGCAAAATATTAGCCGTCACATATCAAACCAAAGCACAGCCAGAAGAGATAAGACAAGCAGCAGGGAAGATGGAGAAAAGACCTGTCTCCCATGGCACCAAATGTTATGGTAGAGTGCGATGGATTAGCTGTCTCGGGACTTATATAAATCGGAAGCAAACCATCAGCAGGGTAGTTCTTATTTAGTACTGAAATAACCTTTTCTACCTGATACACAGAGTTACAAAACAGGTCAGCCATTGAGTTTCAAACTATATAACCTGACCTATTGCCAACGCCAACACCTAATCAGAATATAATACAAGTACATAGAATAAGTTATCAATCACTGATCACTAGTTATGACAATATGTATCACTGATATTTCTGATAGGAAGATGGATATGAGGCAAGTCAACCATGCTACAAGTTAACGGAGAAACGCACCTTTTGTTGATATTTAGGGTCCCCCGTCCTCTGGGACAGGGCAATAAACTCGAGCTGTTCAGTACCAGAGTCTGCAAGAATACTGTCTCCCTAGCACAAGAAATAAGCAAACAATCAACTAAACCTATAGGCCACATTAGTTTGCTAGTACAACATGTAGGACTTACCCCTGCCCATGTCGGATTGCGAGCATTTCCATGTCTCAAGTTGATAACGTTGTATGGTATACCTGATGGGGTGTCCCATGCAGGCAGTAATCTGTCTGCGATATCCTTAGCCTTATCAAGGAAAAGTTTATCACCAGAAAGATCATACGAACTTAGAAGCCCTCCCACCACTCTGAGAGCCAACAAAGAGAAAAGATATAAGCGCAGATGCAACACTTCAGTTTCACATGTTCTGTCAACGCAACTCAATATAGAACCTAAACAAGATGTCTCTTATTACTACAGGTAAGAAAACAACATGGTAAACCTGTTCAGTGCAACCTTATAGTTGTCTCGAACATACTGGCGTCATAATCCTTGTCGAAATCTAATGAGGTTGCAACCCACCTGGAAATTAAAAAATAAGCAAATGAAGGCTGGAAAAGATGAATAGGCAAAGCTTGGGAGTTGTAAAGAGCAGAAACATGATTCATTACAGCCAGAAAAAAACATAACAGTTTGTCAGATCTTTCTAGAAAATGGCGAGGATGGAAGAGATAGACTTACTCTCTGGCTTTCTGAAACTGCTCGTTAAGACCCATAATGTAGAGTGTATCTAAAGCATCTATCATAGTTGCTCCCAGGCCACCAAAGCTATCAACGCCATCTTTTGTCTGGGGCTGATATTCCAAAAAAAAACAAGGTAGCTTCAGTGACATATCTATTGCAAGCAGAAATTGTTGTCATTGTTAAAACAGCAAAATATTTGCAAGCCGCTGATAAGTGTTAAAACTTGACATAATCTGATAGCATTGCAGCTAACCATACAGTTTCAAAAGAAAAGACACCAAATTTGAATATCAAAAAATTTCATTAGTAGAACTCATTGTCCAATCAACAAAAAACATAAAGCTGTACCTGAAGCTCATCTTGTCCCCAGGCATACTTTTCATAAGAGCTCCAAGCATGAATCATTGCTTCTTTTACTCTCTGCATTCTCTGGGAATCAACAGGATCTTCCTGAACATCCTTCAGTGTACTATTCACAGATACATCCTCCGAGACCACGCTTTTCACATCTTCTAACTATCAGGAAAAAATTAATAAATATGAGAGCTTCACCAAAAAATAAAATCCTAAAAGTTTCTCAACATCGAATAAGCTCTTTAGGGAGGTGTCTTACCAACAGCTGCAGCCGCAAAACTTCTTCATTTAACTTGGAAACTTCAAGCTGAAAACGCATAACATAGAATACATTCACTTCACTGAAAAGATAAAAAAGTCTCTTCATTTCAATTAACTGAGATTGAGGAGAGAAGCATATATAGAAAGGGTGTGAACCTGGTAATCACGGGAGAGAGATTGACGATCCCAAAGGACCATGGAAACAGAGAGGAAGAGGAAGAAAAGAAGAGCAAGACGCCTAGGCCTTCTGAGATAATAAGCTGGGTTGAAATATTTCCATATCCCATGATGACTCACCCCCTTACTCCTCGCCATTACCCAATATCAGATCTCGTTCCTATCTACAAGACTGGTGTGATTAAATATTTCAAACAAAAAAAAGAAGGAAGAGATTGAGCTAAAATGAGAGATCCGTGAAGAAAAAAATGAGGAAGAGATCGGGATCAGAGGAAAGATAGGGAAACACTTATCATGTCGGAGATTCGACGGTAAAAAAAAAGAGAAGAAGAACAGAAAGTTAGGAGGAGAATAGAGTGTTTGGAAAGAATGTGATGTCTTTATTCTAAAGCACACAACAATGTGGGAGAAAGAGAATGATTCCTCAACGCTAACCGCTGATTTACGTTTTGTGGGAAATTCGTTATTTCTCGTGAATTTCAGAGGTGAGTGAGGATTTGGGATTGGTTCCCAATGATTTACCGGTTTGTATAAAACCAGCCAAGCTGGACTTTGTTTGCTGGCTGTACGGACGAACGAGAGTAGATCAGTGTCTTTGGGGCAGGGTGGCATATGCGGCATTACAATAAGAACAAGTCATCAGCTGCGGGCAGATGCGCCTTGTGACTTCACTACATGGTACTCTTGGCTTTGCTGCCATTTCTTTCCCCTACATTTTAGGGGTCACTGCTTTGTTTCTTGAGGTAAAAATATTTCTATTATTTATTTAAATAAATATGTATATGTAAATATATATATATATATATATATATATATGAGAGATTTAGTGAAATACCCTTATTTGAAGTCAATATTAGAGTCTTGCTCATGATTTGATATTATAAATAAAAAGCATACAATTAAAGCTTGGTTTGTCCAAAATAATCTTGTAAAGCATTAAATTTCTCTTTCCATTCTCACAGATTTTTTTTCTTTTTCTGACACTCTTTCTCACTCTTTTTCTTTCATTCGTTAACATTCATTTTACTCTCTCAAATTTTTTTTTCTTCATTTTTTCTCAACGATAACACTCTTTTTTTATTTCCACTTTTTTTTTTTTAAATTCACTCAGTTCGATAGAGAAATTGAAACTTCAACAATATAAAATTTTTTACTTATAATACATAACAATGTATTGACATTTACTAATTTATTAACAGTTAACACATCTGTTTACACCTATAGTACATGTTTTTTTTAACGCTGACACAAATGTTAACAGCTACAAAAATTGTTAACAGTTACTGTTTCTGTTAACACATCTGTTAACATTTACAAAATTTGTTAACAGTTAATGTATATGTTAATACATCTGATATATGTATTTGTTAACAATTAAAACTTTTGTTGACATCTACATTATTTGTTAACAGCTAACATAAGTGCCTTGTTCGAGAACTCACTTTCAATAAATATTTTAGTTAATAACTAAATGTGAAGAGTTATGTTGGTTCTTCCGGTAATTGACTCCCTTTTAATATCTTGTATGACACCATCAAAGTTCGATTCTTCTTTTTCAAATTTTATTTTAAAAAGAAAAAATTGAATTGTTGATCAATATAATGAGTGTATTCTTTCTTCTTCTGTCTTTGATATCTTCTTATTGCATGATGTATCTTTATGACTAGATTACTTATTTCATATCTTTGTTACTAATATATATTTTTTATTTATGATAATAAACTGTATAGCTTTCTTTGTCCTGGATCCTTTTTATTCTTATAAATTTTATTAGTTTTCAAAACATAATTCATTTAACAGACTGAAACTGTTAGTTTCTGACTTTTTGCAAGGAAAAATGGACAATGGCTTAAATAAGTCATCCCAAGACTATTAAGACAAGATCGAGAAAACAAATACATATATCACACAAATAATCATATAAGACATGCTACAAATAATCATAATATTTTTCCGCCTTAAAATATTACACTGTTACTGAGTTTTACAACATAATATTTTTTCGTGTTGTATTTCCAAAAAATGTAGCTTCTATAATTTTATCTTTTGTAAAATTTGAATTATCATTTTAAGTTTGAAATATTTATTTTCAAATTGTATATATGGTTAAGAGAAATAAAATTTGGAAAATTTCACAACTATTTTTTAGTTTAGAAGATTGTATGACTTTTGATCTTTTTATTATTAAATTGATGCATTATGTTATAAAGATGAAATATTTTGATAACATTTTCTATATATTTTCAGCAGATTTTGTTATAATTAAAAACAAATATATATTTTAAATTTATTAAACACTGATAAAATAGAGAAATAATATACATATTTGTTTTCTTGATCTTTAGTCCTAGTAGTCTTTGGATGACTTAGCTAAGCTGTTGTCCATTTTTCCTTGCAAAAAGTCAGAAACAAACAGTTTATTCTGTTACCAAAAACAGAAAAAGCTAACAGTTTCAGTCTTTGTCTAAAGACTTATATCAGTTGTTGATCGTTTTTTCCATCCAACAAATCGCAGACAATACCATTGTCATTGTTTAAATAGTTTTCAAGGTTGTAGATTGTTTCTCTATCCAGCAAGTCCAATACCGAACCGTGGTCTTTGTCTAGAGACTCTTTCCAAAGCCACAGGTGATAATTAGAATAACATGTTTCAGTTCAGTGTCTATGTTAGGACTGATTTTAGATAATTGGTCATTCTTCTATAGTCTTTATCTTAGGAGTTTTGCAGCAATTTGCGACTTTTTCCAGCCCCAATTCAAGTATACTTTCAAGTCTTGTGGTTTATAGTTTTAGTCTCAAGACTTCTTTAAGCGTTGGTCGTTTCTTTCTTTTCCATCCAATAAGTTATTTTTTTCCATCTGAGGACCTTTTTGAATAAACTGCTGGTCATTTTTCATCCAACATATCTTATTTAATTGCTTAGACACGGTTCTTCGTCCTATCCACCCAACTCATAATCTTCTGATCCTTATGGTTAATTAAGATCTGTTTTCTCGATTTATAGATGCTATCGTCTGACTTATTCCATCAACGAAGATCAGTGTCTTCATAGTGTTTGTCTTAAGACGGTTGGTCGTGTTCTTTTCCTATCCAACAAGATGTAAACCAAGTCATTGCCTGCCTAAAGAGTTTTCTTAAGCCGTGGGTCGTTTCTCTATTCGACAAGTCCAATACCAACATAGTCTTTGTTTAGAGACTTTCTAAAGCCAACATAATCTTTTACTTGAGTTTTTTTTTTTTTTTTGCCATTGGTGATTTTTTTTCAGTCTCATTGGTCGTTCTATCCATCAAACTCAGTCTTTGTATACTTATAAGCCTTGTGGTTATCGAATAGCCTTTAGACTTTTGGTTCATATTATTTGGTTTTGTTATCCATCCAAAGACTTTAGACCTTTTGGTTCTTAATCTTTCTTTCAGACTTTGTCAGCCATTGGTCGTTATTAGGCCTTATGGTTCACTGTCTTTGTTTTAAGCCGTTGGTTGTTATTTTTGTTCCCAACCAGCATGTCTGAAACCCGGCTCATCTGGTCTGTTTTCTAGAGACTTATGTCTTTGTCTAAGCTCATTTTATCTTTGTGACTTTTGTAAACCGTGGTTAGCAGTCAAATATGGAATCTATTTTCAATTCATTGTCTTTATTCAGAGACTTTCTCAAGGCCTCGTTATCCTCCATTCCATTCAATAAGCAAAAACAGATCCCATTATCTAAAGACGTAGTGGTCTTTTTCCTTCTACAGAGATTCTTCTAAACATGAACTATCGACCAATGTGGCCTTTATCTAGAGACTTGTAAACCGTCTAGACTTCTTTAAACCATTGATAAATTTTTCCCATCCAACATGTATTATTTCTGCCATTAGTTGTTTTTTCCATCTAAGGGATTTTTTGCTAAGCTGCTGGTCGTTTTTTTTTCATCCAGCATATCTAAAACCGACACATCTGGTTGTTCTCTAGAGACATTTTTCCATCTAAGCCCCTTTTGTAAGCTGTTTGTACTTTTCTTTATCCAACCAGTATTGTTTCAGCCATCAGTCGTTTTTCACATCTAAGGTCCTTCTTCTAAGCTGCTGTTCATTGTTTCCATCCAGAATGTCTAGATGCCTAGAGACATTTGTAAGTCGTTTAGACTTTTTTGAACCGTTCAACAAGTATTGTTTCAGAGTTCGGTCGTTTTTTTTCCATTTAGCATCTCTGAAACATATGGTCTTTGTCTAGAAACTTGTTGTTTGCAAGCAATCTGGCTTTTCATTTCAGTCTTTGTCTTGAGACTTATCCGAGAAGTTGGTCGTTTTCTCCCATCCAACATATCTTATTTAATACCTTAGTCGTTTAATTCCATCTAAGAACTTTTCTAAGCCGTTGGTTGGTCAATTCTTTTTCCATCATCCATATAGTTTTTTTGCCTACAAAGAACTGTAAGCAATGACTATATATTGACCAACCAACTGTAAGCATCATCCACAGTCTTCGTTTAGAGATTTTATTGGCCCTCGCTATCCTCCATTCCATCCAAATAACCAAAAACAGATCCCATATAATCTTTGTCTTAAGACTTATTCAAGAGATGTTGTTCGTTTTTTTTCCATCCAACAAATCTTATTTTATCCCTTAAGTCGTTTAATTCCAACTAAGAACTTTTTTCTCCATAGTCTCTTTTTGCATATAAAGACAGACTATATGGGATCTGTTACAAATTCATAGTCTTTGTTTAGAGACTTTTTTAACCCTCGTTATCCTCCCTTTCATACAAATAATCAGAAACAGATCCTATGATATCCTCCCTTCCATACAAATAATCAGAAACAGATCCCATAGAGTCTTGTCTTAAAGACTCCTTTTTTTTCCATCCTATTCCCATGACATCCCTCTTTATAAATGCATTACCAACATTATGGGTCTAGGCAACAATGTACCCAACCAAGAATCTGACAAAACACTATTTGATTAGTGTCTTCCTATGACCTTTTTTGGGGTTTAAAAAAATCCTAAGACATCATCATCGAAGAGAACAGTTCAAGTAGGTTTGACTTTGTTCTCGTTAGCTTCCATCCTATGAAGACAGAAATTAGATAAACGTGAAACTAATTTAATAGACAAAGAATTTACCTCGACAGTAACTCTAGCAGAAAAAAGTAGCA